GTTGGTAACATCTGAGCTCTGGGGAAAAAACATTTCCACTCAGAGTAAAACTGGTGAAAAATTGTTCCTCATAAAAGGGCTTAATGTCTTTTTCTGTCAAAGTGAAAAGCTTCTTTCTCTTATGTGAATGGAAGCAAGATGTATTTACAAAGCTTTTATACATTTTTACAAGCACAACTTGTATTTTCCAGAAATTCTAGGGAAAATTTCCCAACTACTGTAAAAACTGAAATTCTTCAAAATTTCATGGCACTGCACAGTCATTCCAGGAAGTGAAATTTGACAGCATGTCTCAGCTCTAGAATGTGAACAGGATAATAATAGAATGTTCTTTAAAGAGAACATATGTAAATAACCATTTGTATGAGTCTAGTATATTTTCCTCATCAAACATGAGGGGATACAATGAAAATGTGGTGGTAATAGAGCTGACTTCTGTTGGGTCAAACAAGCTCTGAACATCTCCCAGTTTTGAGGGATTGGATGTCCAGACATGAATGCTATGGCTCTTTAGTGTTTAACGTTTCATTCATTTCTCTGGGATCTCAGAGGAAGGGAAGGCAAATGCCAGAGATGTTGGGCTGGAGCAGAACATATTCATTTCAACCATATACATTAAAGGGCAGGCAAGGCTTATTTAAAAGAATTGACTATAACCAAGCTGTTCATAGGAGGCCGTGCTATCTGAATTCTACAAAGTACAGTAGAGCTCATTTGTCTTCAGATGTTCTTTATATAGAAATATAAAAATATTGAAATGTGTATTGATCTCTGAATTACCAAGGGTGACATTAAGAGGGTTTAGAACTGTATATCACATATTTAAGTACTCTTGGAAATGGAAATCAATCCATCCCTCACAATTCATAAATTCCATCTGGCCAGAATAGTAACAAAACAAAGTGCCAGTTGATTGTTTCAATGAACTAATATTTCACATAGTGAACAGTATAATGTGGATGTGGAAGCACATAAGCATAATACTGTAATGTAACCTTCTAAAGGAATGTTTTGTAAATCACCTGTCAGAGTATATAAACCCATGGCATCACTATATTGCTGATTATACAAATACTTTCCACAAACTAGCCATTAGGTGTTTATACTAAACTTTGGAGGTAACTAGACTTGCCATTTTATTAACCAAATTGCTGGGGTTCCTTTTAGGGGCATGAGACCATTTTGTTTCACTCTTTCTGAAATCAGCGATGTCTCAATTGGCGCTTGCTTTCTGAAGCAGGAAATCGGGCTGCAGCCCTAACTGATGGAGCATGAACACAATGTGCTGCACCTGCAAATGCTCCAGCCGGCTGCTCTAGTGGAGCAGGCCTCGTGGAACAAGCTGTCGTATGGTTAGGTTGCTAGCTCCACCATATAGTTCTGGTTTGTGTTCTCTGCAGCCCATCACATTTTGTGCTGGGCTTTCTTATTAATTTTCTCTATTTCGTGGAGAAGCTCAGTTCTTTTTATGGTGTTTTCAAGAGACCTTCACACCACAACATAAACTCTTTGTTCTCAAGATAACCAATTACTTGTTTCCATCTTCGCTAACGTGCCTCTTTTTAAAATATTACTGAGTGCTGCTAATGTAGAAACAAGGTGATGTTGGGCATAAAAGCTAGATCTCTCCTCCTTGTGCTCCTCCAGGAGGACTTGGGGGCAGCTAGACATCTCTGTGGGGATGGATTGAACTCTGCCTCCTGTTACGCAGCACAATAAAAGTGTTATTGACATGTATTGCTCTGTAATTGTCATTGAAAAGGATGACTCTTTAAAATCCAAAAGTTAGTGCTTGAAATAAAGTTCTATGTTCTGCTTCTGTCAGCTGTATAAATACTGCAGCTAAAAAAAAAAGGACTACATCACGTGTTTAAACAAGAGGTGAGGGGGCTAGGGAAGGTTCCCTGTGACGCTGGCCTGTTTTCCATATTTCAAGCAAGCCTATTGTCTCACTTATTCTTTGTTATTAATATTCTGCCGTATAGTATTATGGCTTGTCATCTACTCTTGTTAATATGCTGTAGGACTGCAGGGATTGAGAAAAGCACGTTGCTAGTGATTCTTTTAATTCTTTATATAATATGTAGTTTGCGCCTCTGCAATAGAGAGTTGAAGTAGCAATTTAATGCTGTTCTTTCTCACCGAAGATGGGTGCGTGTGCGAGAGAGAGAGAAGAGATGTTGTATTTGCAGCTTGCATCTGGGCCCTTTGTGCATATTCACATGTGTTTTGAGAGGAAAACAGGAGGAAAAGCCCTTAAATGGGTGGAAGGAGTTTAGGTAATTTGAGCTGGAGACAGGGTAAAGCTCACCCCCACTCCCATCCCGTCGTTCCCAATGCAGGCTGCTCTGCAGGGAGTTCCATACACTCGAGCCACTGGCGACACCATTGCTCCACCCTCAACCTCCTGAATTTCCCCCAGGAGGGCCTCCTGCGGCAGTCCCCTGCTCTCTGCACAGCAGAACGCCCCACTTGCCCTGTGTTCAGACCCGTCCGGGACCATGGGACTGTGGAGGATTTAGCTTCTAAGCAGTCTGTGCATTCAGACTGTGTGATGGGCCAAGTGAGCAGGGGAAGAATTAATACGGGTTTTGATACATTGCAACTACTTATTGTTGTTAGTAATATTTGGTGCCTGGAGGTCCCAACCAAGCCCTGCTAGAGTACAAGACGGTCCCTGCCCTGAAAAGCCCCTGGTCACACAGCAGGTCAGTGGCAGATCTGGCAACAGAGCCCATGTCCCCTGATCAGGGTCGGCTCTGGCTTTTTTGCCGCCCAAGGCAAAAAAGCCGCCTGCCGCCCGCCCCCCGGCGGGGAGCACGGCAGGGGAGGGCGCCGAGCCCGGCCGTGGCCCCGCTCTCCCCGACCGGCCGGAGCGCCGGGGGGCGGGCGGAGAGCCCGGCCGCGAGCCCCCTCTCCCCAGCGGCAGGAGCGCCGGGGGGAGGGCGGCAAGCCCACCACGGCTCCGCTCTCCCCGGCGGCCAGAGCGCCAGGGGGAGGGCGGCGAGCCCGCCGCGGCTCTGCTCTCCCCGGCGGCGAGCCCGCCACGGGCCCTGCTCTCCCCGACCGGCCGGAGCGCCGGGAGGAGGGCAGAGAGCCCGGCCGCGACCCCGCTCTCCCGGGCCGGCCGGAGCGCCGGGGGAGGGCAGTCCCGCTGTCCCCGGCCGGCCGGAGCGCCGCAGGGAGGGCGGCGAGCCCAGTCGCGGCCCCGCTCTTGGGCCTGAGCGCCGCCCCCCTCCAGGTGCCGCGCCAAGCACATGCCTGGTAGGCTGGTGCCTGAAGCCGGCCCTGCCCCTGATTGCCAGTCCATCACCTACCCACTGACCATGCTTCCTCTCCCACCACAAAATGGGGTTGAGCAATCATTTCTGTTTTGTGTTTGAGACTTGTTCAAAGGTGCTTTGAACACCCCAGAATAGTCTGTCTACATGGTCACAGCCCACTACCTGGGAGAATGTACCATTGGGACAGGAGAGAAGCAAACCTAGAATGAGACGTTCCAGGTAGGCTAGTGAATTGACAGGTCCAGGTAGGACCAGTTTCGATATGTGCATTCTCAGGAGCTGCGAAGAAGCCTAGCTCGTTACCAGCAGTGAATAGAGCCCTTTGGATTCTTGGCCTGTAGTTTCTGCCATATTTTAAAATTCCAGTGTGTAACATCACCTTATACCATAAAACGCCATGAATGTTGAAAATTTACAAAGTTATATCATGTCTCCATGAATAGTAAGTGTGTAGTTGCACTCTTAGAATGTTAAAAGATGCTGAATTCAGTCCTTAGCAGTAGCCAGCCGTGAATTAATTAACATACTGATTAGCCTGTAGCTGAGACTTCCAGCATTTTTAATACCACCAAAGCTTCATTTGTCAAATGATTTAAAGTTTTTTTTTAATTATTAGCCAATTTTTCAATAGAGAATTTATATTCATGATTAGTGCATCATAATGGTGCTTAATTAACATGCCATGATAAAATACTGAGGTCTCAAATTTGTTGGCCATGGTTTCCTAGCATATATCAGTTGATTTTTTGAAGATCTGAAGAATTAGATAACGTAAATAAGATTGCAAATAAGGCTTCCTCCGGGAAAGAAGTGAATTTACAGTAATGTGGCTGTTACTTTATGGATTAGTAACTTTGACCTTTGAACTGAATAAATTAAATGGAAACTGATGAAAAAGCTAACATACAGAATGCATTGAGTTTTAATTTTGAAACCATTCATGTTTGTATGGTAAAGGACATTTTGCCCTCCTGTGAGTTCTGCCATTAGGACATCTGCCCTGTTCACATTAATTTAAAGATCACCAGCTTCCATGCCATTCCACTAGGCCAGCCAGAGATTTGCCTACCTGCCACCAAAATGTTGCCAATTTAATCAGTAAAACGATTTTCTTTGGCTGAGCAGGGCTAAGGCCTGTCAGTCAGATGGTACATTAATGAGCATGACTAAATTTTGATTTCAGCTATCCTAGAATAAAGAGCTGTGTTTCTAACTGGGAAGATCTGTTTTGCAATATCATTGCTACAGAATTTTTTTCCTTTAAAATTACAGTACTGTTTTATTTAGCCTTAAGCAGCTGGGTTTTTTATTTTTACAGTGATAACTCTGGGGTTAATTGGCCTTTTATCTTAAATATAACACTTATCTTCTACATGTGATGATTATACAGTGGGTAGTTTCATAAAGTAGTTCTAATGTGGTAATTTAACTGAAATATAGTCTAGGGCTGAATGGGACCTAACTAGCCATTTGATAGATTTTTGCATTTCCTACAGTGGGGAAATGAACTTTATTGAAAAGAGTTCAGCTGCTCCTGTAAGCCACCACTTGCCTTAAATTGAAATGACATGAGAAGCCTGTCAGCATTTCATTACTTCCTTCTGCTGTGCGGATGGTATGCTAAGATCACCATCTGTGGTTTTCTTCTGTCGAGCACACAAGCTTTGCTAAAACTTTAGAGAAGTATTGTGAACACTGTATTTTTTATCTTTCCAGGTCATGCAATATTTAAACTTACATATCTAAGTAATCATGACTACAAACACCTCTACTTTGAATCAGATGCTGCTACCATCAATGAAATTGTCCTGAAGGTGGGTATTAAAATTTAATATAATCCAGAATTCTAGGTGTTTTATCGTTCATTAGACATGAAAACTGAAAATATTCAGAAGGTTCTCAATGCATGTGGATAATGCAAAGCATAAGCCGTGCTGAGAGGCTTTTATTTGGTTACCACTGAATTTTCTGGACTTTGTATATTGGATCCATTTTTCAGACAACCCGACAGCAGGCGAAGTCTGTATACAATATATTTTGCTATAAGCTCTGATGTAGCTAATAGTCTGGAAGATGTCAATTCTCTGTGGAGTTGGAACTGACCAAATGTTTACTTGGTTAGGTGTTTACCTTTAGATTGGTGGTGTATATTTAAATATTTAAGATACAAATTAACCCTTAAGAAACCAACCATTCCCAGATACATGTGCCCTGAGTTTTAAATCCTTCTGGACTTTCTCTGGCATCGATGGATTTTACTAGCCAGGACAGACAGTGTGACTGCTAAACTTTAACTATTTGCTTCGAATATCCTCCTCAGAATCATTAGAAAATATGTTAGTGCTGGTAGCAGTATAACCAGTGTTCAGTAATTCCCCCCTAGAAGTTCGTTTCCCATGTGAGCCGGTTTTAAATCCAAGCCATGCGGGATGTGGCCTTGTGCCCAATGACTAATTAAAAAACAATACTACCAGGCCCTTGCACTATTCCCTTCTTCTGGGGCAGATATTCCTGTCTGGCCAAGGTCTCCTCAGTGCAAGTCTGGGGGGGGGAGCCAAAGGGGGTTTTAAGTGACCTTATGTTCCCCCACACTGGGGCTAGTCAGGGGGCAAGTTGTCCCAGCTTTAAAGCCTGCCTGGCTGGCCAAGAGACAGTTATGGGTGCTGAGGGTCCCGGGCATGGAGATACCCTGGTCAGACTCCTTTTCTTCTCTGAATGCTGGGGGTAGAATAGGGCTTTAGGTCATGGGAGGATCCCCCTTTGCAGTGAGAATTTGCAGGGCACTGCCTCCACCAGATTTCTGGTGGCTCTGCACCCAGAACAGCACAAACCAGACACAGCAGGATGGCAGCTCGGTCCCTATGATTGTTGTTAGGGCCACCATTTGTGTTCCAATGAAAAGTGCCCTCCGCGTGGATGGGTGACTGGGAGCCTAGTCCATGCATGGAAGGTTACAGGATTTGTCAGTAAGCTCTCACTTCAAGTACATAAGCAGAGTTGCTTAGGACTAAAGAAGTGGGTTGTTTACCCACGAAAGCTTATGCCCAAATAAATCTGTTAGTCTTTAAGGTGCCACCAGACTCCTCATTGTTTTTGTGAATACAGACTAACACGGCTACCCCTCTGATACAAGAATCTACACGCACTGTATGAACATGGAGTTTAGCTTCCCTGCCCCATGGTGAGGTTGCTAAATAGTTTATTATTATCTCCATTTTACAGGTGAGGTACCTGGGCCCACACAGCGAGCAGGTTATATAACAGAGAAACACTTCAAATTATACCTGCAATTAAATAACTGAGCAATAAGAATCAACTTCACAGCAGTAGTGGCTTCGTTTAATACAAAGCTGGAGGAGTGCTGGATGATCGCGCTCTTTGAACTGCCTGGTGCATACACACACCAGATGAGGAAAGGGGGGAACCCTAGCATTACTGGAAACAGGGCAGTTATTTAATAGTTACTTTCAAATAGCTTCCCGCAGTTTCTCAGTGGAGTTAAGAAAAGGAACTTCCTCTAAGTAGAGATGGGGAATATTTAAACTAAACTTCCACTGCACTTCAGGCCTTTCTTAATAGCCAGTGTTAATATTATTCAAAGATTTCATGAGGACTCTAGTGGAATTATAAACCTGGATTTGATATCAAAATAATTTTCATGGACACAGATTGATTCCAAGTTTATGACTTCAACACGGGATCAAGCAGAGGATTGTAATTCTGGCAGGACAAACTTCTCTCTTTGCTCATTTAACAAATGTTTCCCCAAATGCACGTCTCAATACAAAGAAAACAAATTTTTCCACCCCAAATATTTTATGTTTTAAGTATATTTTATCATAACCATTTGCTTTTATAATGACTTGTTATATGAGCAGGTTGATTTACTTTCTGAAACAAACCATCATAATACTGTTGGAAGATTAAACTTAATCTTCTGCAGTCTATTATTTTTGTAGCAATTTAAAATTTTAAGTGATAATTTTTATATGCTATTCCCTATGCTTAATAGTATTTTCTGTGTAAAGGTTATGGAAGTGCTAAATAACTGACATGTGATAAAGCATTTTAGTTAATACCCTAAAATATGGGTTTAACTATTTTTTGCACTAAAATTGTGAACTTTTACATTGGAATTTTTATCCCTACCTGTCTTAAATGAAACGATTCCACTCCAGAAGCCTTGATATATCCAGGAGTGTTCAGTATATTTTTGGAAGGCCAAAAGGACAGACTTGATATGGGTAAAATGAATGTCCAGGACACAGATCTTACTGAGCACAAGAATATATTACCTTGCTGTACCTGTGCTGTAACTTGTTTATACAGAGCATTTTTCTGTTTCAGAAATAAGTTTTCGAGTTAAGCCTTTATTTCTTTCTCATTCTGCAAGCGTTAACAGATGCCGAGAAATCTGACTTTTCAAATTAGGTTCTTTACATGATCAAGTGACAAAGACTGAGGCTTTATTGACCATGAAAACTCGCTATATTTTTATGCCTTAAGCTGTAATATGCAATGAAAGTGAAACACTCTACAGTGCATAAAATTGTGCAAGTTTTAAGCCACAGCGTATTAACCAGCTAATGGCAGACCAAAGGGCATTTTTATCTTTTGATTCTTGCATTAACCTTCCATTAAAATTATCTATGTGATTATCAGAAAGCACTGGAGATAATAAATTTAGTGAATAGTAGGCTTGTTAAATATCATTTAAAAATGCTTTCATCAAGTAATATGTGCCAAAATACATGGAAAGTATGAGATTAGCTGAGTATGCAAACATCATAAAGAGAGAATGTTTTGTATTAAAGCTGATAAAACCTTATATTGAAGCCTATTAATGTATTAGACCAGCACTGTGAGTCTTCATGACTTATTGCATTCATCTGGCAATTTGGCTAACAAGTGGCAGATCAACAGGGATCAAGTGCTGTGAGCCTGTGCGCTTTTATTGTATCTCATGCAGTCATCCCGTCCAGGGATGGTGGAAGGCTACAAGCAGTAACATTGCGCAGCCATTCCTGTAAAGTGACAAGACCGGAGGGTCAGCAAGCCCGAAATTAGAAGAGTACTTTCTTGACTATGGGGTTTGAATGTTCTGTGCTGTTCCTACCTTGTTCTTTTCATTGGCATCGCTCTGGGGATGGGTTGAAGTGTATCATTGTTCAGTGATGTGAAGAGTTGTGTGTTCTCAGGCCATTCCCCTAGAATGAAACGAAATGTTGTGGTGTGTTCTCCAGGTTAACTATATTCTAGAATCCCGAGCAAGTACAGCCAGAGCAGACTATTTCGCTCAGAAACAAAGGAAACTGAGCAGGAGAACAAGCTTTAGCTTCCAGAAGGAGAAGAAATCAGGACAGCAGTAATGTCTAGCCTGGAGCAAAAACCTGTCCGCACAATTCGAAGAAGGAGAAGCTCCCAACAGCCTGAGACAGGTGGGAGCCAGAACTGCAGAGTTCTTGCTGCCAACAGCCAGGAGCAGCCAAGGAAGAGAATCAGTAATACACAGTTTCCCATGATGAACAGATGACCCCACGTTGGTTATGGGAAGTCTCCCTTATGAGCCATATCAGCCGGAAGGAGGACGGTGACACTTACAATTCCTTTGATTAGAAATGAGGCGGATGTAGGCTGGCATCGTTTAAGAACTATATTATGTACAATCACAAGGAAAGATGTGGTTACAAATTATTTCACAGCCTGATAAAGATAAATTCTATACATCTGTTATATACACACACACACACACACACACAGGTACTGCTTGTGACATGATCAAATTTCTAAAAATGAACTGTATCCGTTTTTACTATTAATAAAGGTGTAATCTTTCTCCAGGGTTATCTCATGCACAGTTCTTTGGAGGGGTAGCGTTAAGCTACAGACCATTGTGTCTCTTGTTTGCGTCCAGGGACAGTGGCGCAGTCACTGCACACAATGGATTCTTGAAGAAATGTTTATACCGCCAAGTCTGGTTTTTTTCAAGCACGTTTAGTAGCTGCATTTTTCTACTTTGAAGACGTCTTGTTGGAAGTTATTTACCTCCAGTAAACTTTGTATTTTGAAAACCATGGCAGCTTTTCTGGAATGGAATGCCAGGAATCTTCCTTCTTGGAGATGGGGTCTCCGGGAATTATGAGTGGCTGAATCAGCAGAGAAATTCCTGCTTATTGGGCTGAGTTTCTGGTCTGTCAGAGAGTTTTCACCTGAGGATTGAGAAATAACTTTACTTTTTCTTTTGTATTAACATTAGTAAACGTTTTATAAATAGAAATGAAGACTTCGTTTGTACTGGGATTTGTAACTGTTCCAGCCTTGCCCATCTCTAAAGAGTTGGATGCCATATTTCTGAGGGTAGTGGGAATTGTAGCTGCCCTTTTGTTTGCATTTTGGTTCTCCAGAAATGTCTTTTATGAATTTCTGTATGTTGTTAAAGATAAGAGCTCTGTGAACCTGTTACTCTCAATTTTGTATCAAGTGGATGCATATGGCTGTGCTAAGAACACTTGGCAGGATTCTGCACGTAAGAATGAAGAAAAACCTCCTCCAGAAATCTGCAACACACACTGATTTCTGGTGGTTAGACCAAATATTTTCTCCATGTTCTATTGCCTTGCAGTGAGATTGACCTACAGCCAATTTAACCTGTTAGAACTCCTTTCTTTGTTTTTGTATTAAAAAATTTTCTCTCTGAGCCTTAATGTATAGTTTAGGAATAAACACTAAGGCAGATAATTCTATATTTTGTCATTCATATGTTGCATTAAAGGTCTCAACTTTCTAAACGTATAGCTTGTTCCATCAGAAGAACTGTGAATGAAACCCCTCCTGGAAGAACTGTAGAAGTGTGTTTCTCCTGCAAGAAGCATTCTGATCCTCCATGATAGTTGGCAGAAAAGGCCTTTCCCGACCATGTTACTTTGACTTTGTGGAGTAGTAATAATGGAAGACGAATGTAAGGGACACACATCTTTTATAGTCTGGTACTTACGTTTTTAACTATTTAGATGCACAAATGCAGCAAGAGGCAGTAGAGAAAGAAATTGCAAATCATGCAATGGAAATGTCTAATTCAATTAATTTTAACATTAACCAGTTCACAAAGTGAAGTGAACATGCTCTTTGTCAGCCAGTTTTAATTCTTAGAACTGAGCTGTAAAGTGGCATGCTATAGTAAGAGAAATAGTATCACTCGCCCATGGTACATTGTTTTTGTAACACTGTTGTGCAAGGGCCAGTGAATCAAAATCTGTTGTTGTCTGCCTAGATACAATTACTAGAAATAAGCATTCGGTATGGGTAGCCATTTGCTTTTATTAATACCTCAAGATGCTGAATTCATTAAAAATGTTTAAAATGTCCAAATTTTCAACCCCCTGTGTGGGTATTCAAGCACTTGTGTGCACAACGTGACAACCTACACAGGCAAACTCCATTTGTGCCCCACTTGTGTGTTACAGTGGGGTTTGCGTGGGTGTAACTTCCCTGTAAACACGCTAGAGTGAAAAGGTTGTTCTTGGAAGTTACTTGCACAAACAGGCTGAGGTCCCTCAGAAAACATGGCCCTAAAATTAAGTTCCTGGATGCCAAGCCCAAAAGGGATCATGTGATCATCCCGTCTGACCTGTGTAACCTAGGCCACAGAACTTCCCCAGAGTGGCCACATTGGTCCACAGTGATCATGGCAGTATTGTCTGTGAGTTTATTTTTAGTGGAGACCCTGCACCAGCTGTACCCGTAACACCATAGAGCCGTGGCTCAGAAATCGGGTTTGTACCATTCTTGTGCATCTGAATTGGGACAAGCTGGGAAACAGCATTCTCTAGTACAGCCAGTGAACATGGGAAGCAGTTAGCAAATGTTTTTGTATCCTAAAGTCCAGTCTGAACGTTGCTTAACCGCCAGCCAGCGTCAGGCCCAGACAAGCAGAGGGGGCGGCTTGGTGGTTTAAGTCTCAGGATTGGAATTCTCAGACTCCCTGAAACCATAGGATCAAATCCCAGCAGGATTAAGCCATAGTCCTTAGCCATGCCAAAGCAGAGAAATGAATGCCAGCGTGTAGCTCAGGTGGATAATGCCAAGTAGATGGGCCTAGCAGCTGCCTGTCAGGGCTCTGCGTAATATTCTGTTTAGTAAGGTAATTGCGTAGTTCTTGGAGAGAAACTTTGCAGAAGGTATGTGGGCAGGGGTGCGAAATCACAGCTCTAAGCAGCATGACCGTCCCAGCTTCCTTTCTGCCACCGCAGCCGAGAGACATCCTGACAAAGGCTTTTTCTAAGGTGCTGGATTGAGTGGGGAGGGCCTTCGTGGTGAGAGGCACTGACATTCTGCCCTAGCTACCTGAGAAATCCGTGTCCCTGTGCAGTCGTGACCGCCCAAGACAGCTGCGTTCCTCTACAAGACTTGGCCAGGGGGAGACTTGAAGGAGACAGACCTTGCACAGGAGCTGGACCCAGACTATGGAACTAGAAGAGAAGAATGACGCTGGACGTCACATTTTCAGAGCTAACTGTACCACTTACCTCACCCTTAATGAATACTTCACACCCCCATCCACTGCACAGACACACCACACCCACTCCGCTCACACATGCACTCAAAAACTCCTGAACTGCTGACTCTTTCCTACAAGCTGGGAATGAAGTGAGGCAGAGAATGCCAGTTACTTCTGGTTTTAAGTGCATGGTAGCTACTCCAATGGGATGGGAATGGGGATTGAGCAGGGAGCATGTCTTGATTCCAAACTGACTTGCTCCCAGTTATAAATTCACTTTAGAAACATCAGAGCCAATGTAACTCAGGACCTGGAGCTGTAAGCTGTACGCCCTCCCTAGCTGCAGGAGACCTCACCCTCTCCCGCCGAGCAAGCATTTCTGCTTTTACAGCTTCGGAAAGAGTTAAATCAGGACTCGTGATTGCAATGTGCGCACAGCTGAACACACATCCATCACAGACTGGTCTTTCCCTGGTCGTTGCAGATTTAATTGATTCAGATGGGCATTCAAGTGGGTCAGAAAAGCAAGCTGTTCATTCTATGCCTTGTTACTAGGTTTAGGCAGAATATTGTAGCTGCTGACTTGTGACAAGGATGACTTCTCGCTTAAGTACGTTGGTATTTATTGGGTGCAACATGATTATTATTTTTTATTACTGTCTGTTCTCAAAAGTGCTCAACCTACTTGTGTGTGCTAAGCTTGCACACCCGGAGGTAACATTTACCCCTTCCAAAAAATCACTTGCACGCACACGTGACGGTGCTCAAGCTGCAACTGCACGTATAAAGTTGCATGTTCACAAATAGAAGGATGTCATATTGGAATTGCCCCTTTTGAGTAAGACCCTTACAAGATAACCGTTTGTTGCATCACTATCTGTAAGCAGTACCTCCAACTGACAATGAAACAATAGATTTGTCCAGGTGAATAGGGCTCACCAGATCACTACAGCCATGCTGATGAAGCATGCCAGCAGTGGAGTTTAGTCATGTCCAAGACAGTTCATATATAGCTTTTTTAAGTCCTTTTCCTTTTGCCTGTGTGGGCAACACAAATACCTAATTCTTGTCGAAGGAAACATTGATTCTTAGTGATGAGGAAGGGTCTGCCCTGCTTGCTCTAGGGGAAAGAGGACAGAAAAGCCAGTAGATGTTTGTGGATGCCGGAGTCCTGTTCCCATCTCAGTAATACTGCCTTTGCTGCTTTACGGTTATCGGTCTGCCTTGGAGGAATGTCTGGTTGCCCACCTGGCAATACGTGACTTTTACAATTGCATGAATTGCAATGTCCCAGAATGCAAGACCGCTTCACCCGACTGGCCCAGCCTGTAGTCCCAAGGCTGCGTTATCCAGCTGGTTTCAGCCAGCAGGGAACCCATGTTCCTGATAATGCTTTGGGAAGGTGTAGCTGGGTTGGCTTGCACGTTTGTCCATCCATTTGACGTGGTCATTTGGGTGTATTTTCAGATGGCGTTTTGGCATCAATTATATTGTTTATCATCAAAAGAAAAGCCTTGGGGTAGCAGCTTGCAGATTCTGTTCCTCCGTGGGATAGGTGGAATTGTGTAAACTGTTTTACTTCATAACGATCCTTCAAATGGTTCTGTCCCCTCACTGGCGTGCCAGCTTCTCAAGTGACGTGCAACCAACTTCTTGTTTTCCCGGTGATGAAAGATTCGTCTTCCCAGCATTGAACTTTGGGCTTTGTGCATTGTGCTGTATCTGCCCTCCCTGTGTTCTCACATGCAGGGCTGCTAGGGTGATAGATAGGTGGTTCCAGATGCAAATGGCTTGAAATACCCACAGCATCTTGCAAAAATAAGGTGACCAGACGACCCGATTTTATAGGGACAGTCCCGATTTTGGGGTCTTTTTCTTATATAGGCTCCTATTACCCCCCACCCTCATCCCAATTTTTCACACTTGCTGTCTGCTCACCCTATGCAAAAATGATCATGAGCATAAAAGTGCTCTCAGCTTCATCAGCTGACAAAGGGGCAGGGGAAATGTAGATGAGCAGAAACTGGATGAGTCATCTGAAGATGAGCATGGGCAGGCGTGTGACACAG